GGAACACTTTCATTTCCAGGGAAGCGCGTCTGTGAAGTACTAATTATATTATGAAAGTAATCACGCCTTACGCTGTTATTATTTCCACTCTGTTTCGTATTTCATTTAAAATTGTGTTCATTTTTTGGTTACAGGTAAGCTGATGTATGATTCATAAACTTTCCTTACCGGTAAGACACTCTCATACCTACAATATTTGTGTTTTTCTCAACCTCAATAACAACTGCTACACCAACAATGCACGTTCCGTTTTCAGAGAGTCCCATAAAATTATAAACAATCACAGATGTTTTCTAATGAACCCTCATGTAATAAATCAGAATATGAAGCCCTGTTAACTGTAGTGAATTCCTTTAAATGAAATAGCATACAGCGAGGAAGGCCTTCAGTCAGTTCAGCAGGATTTCGGCGGTTTGCATTACTTTGTATGAAACTTTTGAAGACTTTAATTTTTATTATCATACATTTTTTCCATGTTAGCTGTAGCTTTTCTTATTAAAAATCATTTCTCATCCGGCATCGCATACGCTAATGCAGAAATTTTAATTTTTCTCCGCGCAGGATTTGATAAGGATTTGGAAAAATTATGAAATCAGGATTTAGCAGTCAAAAATCAGGATTCCATCAGGATTTCCCAAAATGAAAGGAAACTAGACACCCTGAAGGAGTATTCGTCATATGGCCCACAACCAGAACCCGTAATGCATGCCAAACTTTTATCTTTTCGATCGTGTGTTACAAAAATCCAATTCATAATACTTACCTGGCGGCTCAATAGGAGCTCTACAGAAGCACAACACGAGCACAGTGGCTTCTGCTCCAAGCCCGTCGATTTATTAATTCGAGCCACGAGCCGAGAATATTGCTCTTGGTCGCTCGTCTAATGGACCTTATCTTCGATACCACGGTTTTTTTTGTTTTTGTTTTCCTCTTTTGGATCCCCAAGACTAGACTCCCCGTCAAGAATATCGCTCCGATTCGGTCGCTTGTCTAATGCTCCCTATCTTTAATGGCACGGGGTTTTTTTTCTTATGGACCCCGAAAACTAGATTCCCCGTCACGTAGAGACCTTGACATTAGGCCATCTCACCGCGCGATCATTAGTGTAATTTCCGTCAGCCACTAATTGCGCCAGGCGTTGTCGGGGCTTTAAACTAAAATTGCCCGTTTAGAGACAAAAGAACACGACTCTCTTTACACTTGATGTTTTTAATAGTGTAACTCTTGAAGCGGATTTGGCTATGGCGCCTGAAACCTGCTCGAGAACCCTTTAATTGATTGTTCATCCCGCCGTCCAGTTTCGTGTCGCTGTCATCCGGGTACGAAACTCACGTATAATCATCATTTTTCTCCTCTTTGCCTCTGCTGCCGTGCTAAGGAAAAACGCCGTAAGAGTCTTCAGGCGTTGCCAAACTTTCTTCGACATACCATAAATGTTCGGGCAAGTTTTTAAGTATTTTCTTTTCAATTTTTCAGAGAATTTTTTTCATAGCTTGCTCCAAATTTTCTGAAAATTTCAATGAAAAATATTCATATATGCTCTCAAAAATAATAAGTTTTTCTAAGAGTAAATTTGGCAACATTCAGATGTTCGTACGGCGTTCTTCCTCAGCAAGGCAGTCTGGGAGTTCCTACATTACTGCGGGAACAGCATTTAAAACGATACGACGAGCGATGAGGAAGCGGAGTGGAACAAAAAAGCAGGGTGTCTAGTCCGTAATTTCCAGAAAGTCCGGAAAAAGTACTGATTTTTTAAGGACGACCCGGAAGTACTGAAAAAGTGCGGAATTTCCGCAAGAAGATCCGGAATTTTTTAATTTTAGTCGCAAAGAGCGAGAAATTTCCGAATTTTCTCAAATGGAGGTACTGAAAAAGTAACAAATTTTTCTGTTGAGGAGGTACTGAATTTTTTGGGAATGTACTGGAACAGAACTGTAAAAGTACTGATTTTTGGCCAGCCAGTTCTAGTAAACACCCTGAAAAAGTCACAGGCTGTGGATCCTTTTCCTTCGAGAATTTTTCTAACGAACTCGGATAACTATTGCTTGGAAGAGTAACTGTTATCACGAGTTTTCGGTGACGCCGACCTTGAGAGATTACGCATCCGGATGTGAAATTCGGATTCGGGATTCTTGAAAAACACGTATGTTGATTACAGCTCCAGCTGTGCAAACCGCTCTGGCGTTGAGCAATATTCAAAAGTGCTCCGCGCCATTCGAGCGCCGAAAGATGCACTCACTCGCACGTGTCTTGACACAAATCCGAAGCGTCGCTGCTCTTTAAAAATCGAACGCCTGACCTTAGCGCCGCCTGGGGCTCGCGTATGCAAACATCACCGGCGGAGAGCATTTTAATTGATATCGAAATCAAAAAGATAATTAATTGCCCAACCAATCAACCAACGAACCGTGGCTGGATATTCAAAGGTGGTTCGTTAGCTAACTGAATACTCGAGACCATTGAACAGTACCTGTCAGATGCAGTCTCGCTTTGTTGCCTCTTGGCCTTTAATAATCTCATTTATTATAGCGTTCACGTCAAAGAGGTTTGAACACCTTTGGAGTGAGACAGAAGCAGTGGCGTGGCGTGAATTGCGATGTATCGTTTGTTTTGCCATTTAAACCTATGGAAAAGGATCGATACACAGGGTGTTCGCAGCGAACGCCTTTATAATCGATTCTTTACCATAGGTTTAAATGGCATAACAATCGATACATCGCGATTCACGCCACGCTACCGGACAGAGAATCTGTCTCCTCGATTTGTATATGCACTCTCGATGCTAAACTGAAGATCTTCTGTTGCGGTCCAAAAGTTTTGGAACTTATTTTGTGTGGACTCTAATTCAGGGTAAATCGATTGGATTTCTTCCTTCAACCGACAATACTGGTTGAATGCTTTCGAATTATTCCAATTACTTCATCGACTGACAAGGAGTCGTCTTTCATTCACAATGCGTCATTAATCCTCGAGTTGAATGCTTTTTTTGAGTTGAGACAATGCTGGATTGCCTGTCATCCTTCTTCTTGTTCGATCCAATCTCAAAAGCTTGTGAAGGCTTTGAAGTTGGAGTGCATACAACATTATGTACTCCCACCCCTTTTGTTCTCCTTTGTGTACGTTAGAGTTGTCTCTTGCTGATGCGTAACTGATTAAATTATCATGATTGTTTACTTCGCAGAGATCGGTAATATTCTCTTCAAATTCCAAAATTCTGTACACGTCAGTGTTTGAAGAATAGATTTTGTTGACTTTTCATGCATCCCCTAAACATGAATGATGATTAAATGGTTGTTTAATTATACTGCCATGAGTAGCTAAGTTAGTGATTGGTTTCAGTGCCAGCCTAATGAGAATTATCGAGAAAGTTTGAAGAAATACACTTCAACAAAGAAATTGAAAGCACGATGGCATAATTGTGAGAAGAGGATTGAACAATTGGACCACATTCTCCGATAAGGAGATAATACTTTAGGCTCTAATCATATCCAAATGAAGAGAAATAAGAATTATCCCAGTCTTTTTTGCCAAAAGTAATTCAAGTAATACGATTTTCAGTTTAAAATTCATCTCGTCATTTTCCATCACCCCTTTTGGAATTGAAATCATCCAATAATATCCCGCATAACTCCCTCTCTACAGGCTCCTCAGTTGATTGCGCTGAGACATTTCAAACACAATAGCGCGATATAAAACGACAAATTGCCTTTCCGAAAGATTAACTTTACCTTTGAACAATGCTCGGAGCATAAAACAATGGAAGAATATTGGAAGTTGGGTTCGAACCCAACATGCAACTATTTTAACTCCGCTGTGGACCGGGTTGCATACGCTCAGTTTTACGGGCGAAATCTGAGATCTGTCTACGGCTTTCGCGATAGGGTACAGGTGTGATTAGTGGTTTCCTCCAACATGATATCTATTTTGGGCAACTATTCGGACGCTCGTGTCGCAAAGATGCGTAACGCGTTTCTAACAAACTGAGATGCTTTCCTAAAGACGAAATCTGCATATAAATAATGCACTGCGTGAAAAGAAAAAAAAGAAAGAGAGGAAAAAAAACAACCAGATTATGCGAAGGGAGGTTTGGACGTAACATGCAGCTATTTGCGTGCGTTCGAGAAAAACATTCATTGTCATTAAATTCTAACAGATACTTGACGTAAATTTCAGTTTTTCAAGTTGCATAGTTTGCATCAATACGATACAGAGCAACTTAGACAGTTAAAAATTTAATTTTCTCCTCTTATCCTACTATTCCCATAATATCTATATTCTTCTTTCCCCGACATTTTCTTTTTCCGTTTGCTCTCAAAATTGATTTATTCTTTTCATTCCTTGACTTCTCAAAAACGTTATGTTCCACTTTACTTCAGGTGCCTTATAGCCATAGTTGCTCTCAAGCCGAATAAATTTTATGCACTACCACTCTTTATTCATTTTTTTATTTTTTATTTAATTTTTTTTTTTTTTCTAGAAGAGAATTCAGCATAGCTCTGATGTTAGGTAATTTATTGTTTTCAAACTTTCATTATTTATTTCACTCACATTTTACTCACGAAACAAACCCAAAAAGTGTCTCTCTACTCTTCCTTGCTTTTTTTGGGATTTTTTTTATAAAAATTATTATTTATTTTAATTTTTTTTATTTTTTTGTAGAATTTAGCATAGTTCTGATGTCGGAGCAGGTAATTTGTTTTAAACGTTCATCAATTATTTCACTTACATTACTTAAAAAACGAAACCAAAAAGTGTCTCCCTATTCTTCTTCTTCTTTTTTAATTTTTTTTTTTTTTTTTTTTTTTTTTTTTTTTTTTTAATAAATATCTAGCGTGTTATGTTAGGGTTGTTTCCAACACACACCAAGAAAGTAAGTAAAGTGCCAAGGAGTGGAGAGACACAAGATTAGTAAAGAAGCGTTCGCGGGGCAGAAACCGGTCGCGGTCCGCGGACGGCGCGACGAGAGGTCTGTAGCCGCAGCTGCCGGGGCCGGGGGCCGGGACTGCCAGTCGTCAGCTGTGCTCCTCGTCAGCCAGCACAGTCGAGCACCGCTCCGAGGTGTGTCACACCGCGATCGCATCTCCTCGCGTCCGTCTTGTGTTCTTCTTGTTTTCGGGGGGTCCAACCGTGTTGTGTCGTGCTGTGTTGTGTCAGTGCCTCCGGATTCCAGTGTCTTCAAGTGAGCATCCCACCTCGCTCGTCGAGGCTGCTTTATTTTTGGTTCTTGGCATTCCTCGCACAACGGAGGGGTCTTTGTTTACATACACCCGGCCAGACCACGTGGGTTCACTATGCTGGACTGCCCTCCCGAAATGGATATCAGCTTTGGATACGACGAGAGGTTTTCTAAACGTCGTCACAAACAGAGGAAAATTGGAGCGTTGTCACGAAGTTTGTGAACTTGAGGCTTTCGGAAAATTTATCAAGGTACCCAATCGTGTGAATCCAGGGGCGTTTTATGCATGTATGCAAGGAAATCGTTGTTCTCCTCACATGAAGGGAGTAAATTAATGCTATAATATCGTATATTTAACATCAATCAAGAGAATTGTATAGAAATAGAGCGAGAGCAAGCATTACGGGTTACTGCAAGGCAAGTTTCCGATACGTTTTCAAGGCTTACAAACTTGCGAAGATTTTGTAGTAATAAATGAATCCAATGGTGTTCTGCACCCACAGTAGGAAGAACCACCCCAACCCCCACCCACAAAAAAAAATAGGGATTGAGGTATAAATTGTCACAGATTTATCTTATATCAATCATAGAGAATTGAACAGTAAAACCGAGCTACCATCAACATTATAAAAGAGTAGTATATGAATTAGAAAGAAATATTCACAGACAACACAAGACGCACATCTTTAAATAGATTACTATATTCCTGCACAAAGCCTGCTGCATGTCACTGCTGTTTTCTGGCCTACCTCAAAAATTGAAGGCGGAGCAGCGATGTGCGTAATTCTCAATGAGACTGAAATGCCTGTACACTATGCAGGGACAGGAAGTCTCATGGATGTGCATTTGTTTATTGCGCGAAAATGATCTTTACAAGATCTACTTTCTTGGATTTTTTTGTCGCTTTTTCATTATTCTCATGTACACGGTTATTTAAAGAGATGTTTACGAGAACAAGCAAAAATTGTTTGTTTTTGAGTTGATTTAATTCTTCATGTTTTGATTTCTCGAAACGCACTGGTAGCTTTGTCCAGTTGCTAAGAATGGACGAATGTTGAGTGAGTGACAGCCCTTCCTAATTGAGCTGTGGGTACAAACAACAAATATTATGAATTTCGTAGTCAAGAGTGTAATTTTCCTCTTTTTATTTGTTAAAGCCAAAACTATTTTTGATTTCACACGGATGCGTCATCATATGAACAATTAAATTCAACAATTTTCTATTCATTGTCTGCTATTAAAAATTGCCAAAATAGCAGATTATTTCACACTTGGATTTGCCTATGTTAATCTGGTGCCATCCAGACACGACTGTAACCATTTTCCTGGCACAGTTTCTTCAGTGCTAAAACCGAGAGCGGGTCTCGGGGAAAACCTACATCGAGATTTTCCCAGTTTCCGTGCCAAAAACGAATCCGAATGTGTGAGGCGTTAGCTCCTAGTTACGGAGTGAAAGCAAAAGCAGCTGGAAACCGGTTTGGTGCGCGCGGCAGGCGGCTAGCAGCGCCCGCGCAACCGCGACTCCTCGACGCGTTTTTCTCCTTTGTGAAGGGAGGTTGATGGGCCCGAAGATACCTGATCTCCTAGTCGTGCCAGTTCCTATGCAACTGTGATCAGCATCGTCGAACCGGTTGAACCGTCGACATCTGATCCAGTAGTCAAGTCGAACTTTGCCGCATCGACTATTCTCAATCGCGAATCGAAAGAAAAGAGCCCTCGTGGATAGACATGTGAGCCCATGCCTGGCCGGGAGGGTTGTTCAAAAAAGGGTTATTTTGTAATGTCGGAAATGGGGCTGTAGAGGAACCGAGGCCACCCCCCGTGAACAGGAGAAGATACAGGGCCAGAGGGTCTCCTCTTTTCTGGAACCCTCTGAAGAAGAGTAAACCCTAGATCCAAATCGGAGAGCCATACTGTTGATTTAAAAATTTAAATATGAGCTGGTCAATGGTAAACATTCATAGATCATACCCCTCGCATGGTGCATTTTTCCAGACCGATAATTTTCAAGGAGTGTTCAAATGGAACTAGGGAAATGTATAAACAGACAATACAGTGAGTGTGAGAGCGAAACAGGATAATATTTTCGGGCAACAAATAACAAACATTTCTACATTTGTCAGCGGTAGTCACCGTAATTTTACACTCAACCTCCTATCTTTTATTCGTATTATTCATTTAACTCTTCTCTCTCCATTCTTGCTTGTTTTGCCTGATGAAGGGAATTCCGCTAACTTTCCTTCCCCTCCTTGATATTGATTAGGGATCGAATCTTGTTGACCAGTTTACGTATGGCTGAAAGTTGCGACAAGAATGTCGACTTTGTTATTCAATCGCTTATTACTTAATGATTTTTGCCGCTGAGGAATTAAGGATGGCTCAACTTGGCCGTAAAAAAGCTCAAGTTGCGTACAGCTCCAGGCTCCAATTCAGGATATCCTTTTTTCGGTATAAAGTCGACTTTAGAGAGAGATTAAGTTTCTCGACTTGCAGTTGCCTGCAAGATTTGGGCCTCGAACATCAAATGGAAGATCTCCATCAGAGAGAATCCTCCAACAACCTGACAACTATGAAATACTCTCCTTTTTCTCAAATTTCTCAATATCCATCCTCTTAGATTTTCAGGCGGTAGGTACGCCTAACAGTTTTCCATTATTTTTATGATGCGATTGCAGCATTGTCACGCTTCATGACTCCAATCTGTTATAGCGATCGGTGGACCATCCATCAGTTCGTCATATCGTTTTCCGACCGAAGGAACCTAACTCCATTTCAAGGTTGCGAAATTGACTCAAATCATTTATTTTTGTACAACAATATACCCACGAAATTTTAGACCAACATTTTCTGACTTTTGCATGAGATCAGAGGAAAAATCAGTGGAATTTTCAGTTCGAAATGCCCAAAACTCTCCTGGTGAAAATGCGATTTACGAGGGGAAATTTGGCAACATTTAAATGTAGTTACGTTCTTTTGTGTGGGAACGACGAGTTGTCGCCATCGTAACTCATCCGGTGGGTGAGCAAGTTGGAAATATTTTGAAAATTACACTTGCACCGGAAGCCATTGGAATTCTCATTTTGTCATCGTCTTATAGCCAAACATCGAGATGTCGCTGCTTCGAGCGCTATGTCACGGGAGGTGGCCACAGTCGAGAGAGTGAGAGAGACAGTATATCCTCTCAATAACGAAGCTGAATGGAATCACTAAAATTCATGGGTCATAAATGCGCTGAATAATCCTAATAAAATCCGGAATAGGTAACGTCGTTTTCGAACCATTAAGTGTGAAGAAGTGAGGCTTCTTTCCTGAAGTTCAATCAATCCCACAAGTTTACAGTTTACTGTGTCTAAAATTCACGGAGAATACGAAGTAAAGTCGCGAAAATGCTTCATCAATCATTCTTTTTTAAATCAGCAGAAATCGCAGGTGTTAAATCTGCTGATTGATTGAATGAAATTCCTGGTTGTCACACGAGTCGTCGACTTGTCTCGCTGTCTAGCGAGTCGTTAGACAGCCCTTCCCTACGGCTTGTTCAATTTTATCAGTTACTTGTCTCTACGGCAACCCCGAAGGACTTCGAAGACAGGATATGTAATTTAGTTGAGACGGCGCACAGTGGATCGAGTCAGTTAGAGAGGTCGGATATGATATTTTTAAAAGTTTTGAATTTTGATGTCTAATTCGTCGCATTTTAAATTTTAAGGGGTGTTATTAGAAGAATATTTTACGAGGAAACCTTTGGAACTACTCTTGGCACTTCAAAGTTTTGTAAAAATGGAGTTATAAGCGTTTAAAGTTTCCAAATTTTGTCCGACCTCACCCATTGACTCGATCCACCGTGCGGCGCGGCGCGTTGATCAGGCAATCAGCGGCGCACGGCCGGAACTCAGAATGCCTGATTCTCCGCGCGATTCGGTCGGATAAGTAGCCGGACAGCATCGGTGTCGAACGGTCAGTTTTTGAAGACTTCATCCCCTTTTAAGTAACGCCAAAAGGTGATTATTCGCGATTCGTCTTTAATTGTCAGACGGCGATTTCTAGGGCACAATTCATGCACAGAATATGTTACGCATTAAGGGAGAGACCGACGAATTGATAAAAACATTTTGAAGCCGTGCAGTTATGCAACTAATTGTGACGCGAAGACGTTTAGCAACGTGAAAAGAAAGGAAAACTCAGGGTTACCAGTCGACTCTGAAAAAATCCGATTAGGACCTCAGTGTTGCTTAACCCTAATCGTATCTATCTTTCCGCTTGCCCCTTCGCCCCGCTGCGCTGCCGGAGGATCTTAAGAGTAGAATTTCATTCGTTCCCTATTCGGGCCGCGTTTAGCAGAAAGGAACCATGTCACATCAGCTATCGCTAAATTTGACTGGGCATTTTAATTTTTTACAAGAGAACATTTGTGCGGATTCCTTTGACAATTTTAAGGAATTTGCTTCGTACTGTGTAGAAAATTCACTGCAATTTGCACAAAAACTCACTCAACCGTTTTCATGTAAAAAATTTAAGTGCAAAATGGAATTTAGGAATAGCTGATGTGGCTTGGTTACTTCTGCTTAACATAGTATGTTTACCTGTTCGTTTTAAATGTGTCGCATCTAAGTATTGGAATATTCTTGTAGAAAAAGAAAAAAGAGAAAAAAACATGGTGAATTACAATGAAATCATGTAAACGTGACCAAACATACTAAATTATCAAATGCAGAGTATTCGTTCAAAATTTGAAAGCTCCTTTTGTCTTGCATTGAAGCTATTTTCTGACACTCACGAGCGTTGACCAAATATTCTTACAACTGAATAACAGCAAGACGATTCATAAATAAAATTAAATAATAGAAATAGGGCGGAGGTAAAGGAGTGTCTGAATGTGTCAATTAAAGAGAAGTAAGTCTCCCGGGGAAACACAAACTCTCCATCATTTTTCTTATCTTCGAACTTAGCGCATGACCTCTTAGATAAAAGTTCCGGGCACGAGGCGTAAAATGCAGAGATTAAAA